AATCAAAATCACCTTGACCTACCAAAAGAAACCACACATTAATGTCTGTGTGTAGGAACATTTTATACCTATTTCAGTTAGTGCGGTGTTCATTTTTATGGGTGTGAATCACCGCCAGAGCTCTGCTGGCAAGGCATAGGATGCAGGCACCTAGTGGTGGAAAGTCCAATAAAGGGGTACATGCCAGAGGAAGCTGTTCATGAGCCCCGCTCTGCCAGGGGCGCCTTTGTGTGATCACACAAACCAGCCCATTCAATTCAAAAGGGAAACTCACTCCAATAGAACAGGAAGGATTTGGCCCATGATCAAAATGTAAAAATTCCTTTGAAGAGCATGCTTTGGCAAGTACAGCAGCCAGAAACCCCCGGTGTGTCCAAAGAAACAGAAACAAGATTTTGCACAGTACTTTCAAACTGTTTGCTCAGAGTGGCACTCTGTCTCCCCCCAGTGGTGGCTAGGCCAGTTAATGATTGATGAGCCTGCTTGGTTAAGTGAGATGTGTCTTTTCGCTCCTGGAGTAGAGGCTCATGCGTTAAGCTCCAGAGGTCCCAGGTTTGATCGCCCCTGCCAACAACCCTGGGTGAATCGGTGTCACCAGTGGCATGTTATACCACAACCAGGAAAAGTGATTTTAATAAATTCATTAGTGTTTTAACAGCTCAACTTTACAGATCTGGTTAAAAGTTTTACTGACACACCTGCCTTAAAATCACTTGTAAATTAAATCTGCACAGTTTAACTTCTTCCTCTGACATATAGCAGCATTTACAACTGTCAAAGTGTGTTTGTTATCTACACCCATTTGCTCTCCACTGCACCCTGAAACATCTGAAAGAAAAACAACATCTTCCTGCTCTGTTTTAGGTGTTAGTGATGTCATTAATTGTTACAAGAGAAAAAACACCATCCTGACATGAGGACTTGGCAGGAAAATAAAGCTGGGAAAGATTTAAAATATTGTATCCTAACAGCTTGTAACTGAGTCTACTGATCTGTTACTGATTTGGGATTTCCTTTTTGTTGTTGTGGTTGGCATTTTTTGCTTTAACTGAAAAGCTTTTGTAGATCACCTCTTTATGAAATAAGCAGCCATTGACTTTCATGCAGAATGCAGCACTATTTGTCTTCATCCACTCCTTAATATCTGTTTAGACCAAACACAAGAACAGCTGGCACAAAGTGAAAAAAAAGAGTTTCTGGGAGTCAAAGTCATGGCTTTTATTCCCAGCTCTGCCACTGACTTTGTGTGTGACCTCAGGCAAGTCACTTGATCTGTGTCTGTTTATCAGTCTGTATAAAGGGGATAATAATGCCTAGATCTTCTATAGCACTTTTCATCAGTAGGCCCCAAATGCTTTACTTAGGGAGTATCATTATCCCCCTTTTACAGATGGAGAAATTGAGGCACAGTGAGGGAAATAATTTTTCCAAGGTCACCCCACAAACCAATGGCAGAGTCACGAATAGGCAACACTGCCTCCTATAATAGTAGAGTGGCACTTCTGTAACTCACAAAGCTCTTAGAAGGCTTAATAAACGTTAGTAAAATACTGAGATCCTCAAATGAGAGGGATCACAATGTATAAGTTTAAAACATTTTTATTCTTGTATTATACTTTAATTGAAGTGCATGTTTCGAGGACTTAATTATATAGCCACACACTCTGACAGGAATGATAATATATGGTTGGAATTCCAAAGAATGAGCTATAAAACAAGACTACCCTTGTCTAACAGTATGTTGTTTCTGAAAACCTGTACTACGAAGGGGAAAGTAGGTCACAAAACCAGACCATCCAGTTAACATAACTTGAGTAATATTTTCTCTTATTTAACTGACTGAATATTTTAGAACATTACACACCATCCAGCTATTACCTCCCCTGCCTTAGGGACTGATCTAATCCTGATTGAAATCAGTGTGTTCTTAGATTTCTAGTCCTAAGCAATAAGACCTAAGGTTTTTCAGTGATGGGCTGCCAATATTTTAACAAAGGTCTCACACAAAAATATTCCCCTTAGTCTGCAATTACCATGAAGGTTTATGATGGCAAGGAGGAGGTGTGAGCGCATGGGGAATCTGTTTGTTTCATTAACCATAATAAAAGCAGGGGTTACCCCATACATATACATACACTTAAGCATAGTGTAAACTGGTAGCATTCTCCTCTTCTTGCTCCTAACACAGAAACTGGTTCTGGTCCAAACATCCCCTTCCTGGAGTTTTTCTTTATTGTAAACTTTAACAGCAGTAGCAGCAAAACATAAACCTAAGCTGGCTTGTCCTTAGGGTTTTTGCTTGTATAAACCTTCTGTTTTGATACCTAGTTTTTATTGTCTCTGAGAGATGCTGAAAAGCCTCAATCCACAAAGGTATTTAGGTTCCTAAATTTTGGGTTTAGGTGCCTAAATCCCTATTTTAGGCTCTACTGCAGTCCACACAACTCCTGCCAAACGCTGTTTTATACTACATTTTATACTTGCATTTTATACTTGCAGATATTAATCTTCTAGGTAGGCAACTGGGAAATTAGGGCCAAATTCTACCTTCAGTAATATCCAGACAGGTCCACTAACCCCACTGGCTTCAGTTATGGAAGCCTAATGCTATAGATTTGTACTTAGTATGCTTGCTCTGTCCTAGAAATTGCGGTGATTTTTCTTAAAAGCTTCCGTACATATTTTTGTTGTGAAAGTCTCTACTGATTTTTTCCCTCTGACTTTGACGTTGCACCTATTTAACTATATTCTCACAGTGATCCTTGTTCAGACTTGCAGACTGAACTGTTCCAAAGACTCAGACTGACTTAAACAAACTCAGCCACTAATAGTCATATAATGAAAATAAATTAGACCAAAAGATTCAAATGGCACCCAGTTTAGATATGCAAATCCACCAATGTGTATTCACTAGTTATGGTTGTTCATGCACAAAGAACCTGAAGTGCAAGCACACTAGGGATTTGTGTACCTAAGTCAGGTGATCAGAAAATGCATACAAACTTTTGCTCATATCCATTATTTGCAAATTTGGCCTTATGTAGAGAATAATATTTTTACCATATGTTTAATTTAGTTGCCCAATTTAATTTACTTTGTGTCCAAAAGATCCACCAACTTTAACTGTACAATTGGCTGCTTGGATAAAGATCAGAGTATCATAATTTCATAGAAATTTGGGTCTTTAAGGAACCTTGAGAAATCATCAAGTTGAGCCCCTGTGCTCAGGCAGGACCAAGTAAACCTAGACCATCCCTGACAGGTGTTTGTGAAACCTGGTCTTAAAAGCTTCCAATGATGGGGATTTCACAATCTCCTTTGCAAGCCTATTCCAGAGCTATAGTTAGAAAAGTTTTCCTAATATCTAACCTAAATCTCCTTTGCTGCAGATTGAGCCCATTACTTCTTGTCCTACCTCCAGTGGACATGGAGAACAACTGATCACTGTCCTCTTTATAACAGCCCTTAATAGATTTGAAGTCTATCAGGTTGTTCTCTCCTCTCCCCCACCTTCTTTTCTAACGACTAAATGTAGCCAGTTTTTTAAACCTTTATAAACCTTTAATCATTTTTAATGCTCTCCTTTGGATACTCTCCAATTCGTCCACATCTTTCCTAAAGTGGGACACCCTGAGTTCGACACAGTACTCCCGGTGAGGCATCACCAGTCCCATGTAGAGCAGGACAATTACCTCCCATGTCTTACATATAACACTCCTGTTATATACCCCAGCATGATAGTGGCCTTTTTCACAACTGCATCACATTATTGACTCATATTCAATTTGTGATCCACTAGAATCCCCAGATTATTTTCAGCAGTACTAACAACTAGCCAATTATTCTGAATTTTGTAGTTGTGCATTTGATTTTTGCTTTCTAAGTGAAATACTTGCAACATGTCTTTATTGCATTTTATCCTGTTGAATTCAGACCAGTTCTCTCATTTGTCAAGGTCATTTTGAATTCTAATCCAGTCCTCCAAAGTACTTCAACCTTTCCCAGCTTGGTTCCATCTGCAAGTTTTATAAGCATACTCTCAATTCCATTATCCAAGTCATTAATGAAAATATTGAATAGTACCAAACCCAGAACTAATCCCTGTGGGAAGCCACAGGATACCCCCTTCCCCAATTTGGGAACAAACTATTGATTACTACTGAGCATGGTCTGTTAACCAGTTTTGCAACCACCTCATAGTAATTTCATCTAGACCACATTTCCATTGCTTATGAGAATGTCATGTGGGACTGTGTCAAAAGCCATATAAAAATCAAGATGTATCATGTATACTTCTTCTCCCCTATTCTCTAGGCCAGTAACCCTGTCAAAGAAGGAAATTAGGTTGGGTTGGCATGATTTGTTCTTGACAAATCCATGTGGGCTATTACTTATAATTCTACGATCCTCTAGCTGTTTACAGATGGATTGCTCAATAATTTCTTTCAGTATCTTTCTAGGTATCTAAGTTAGGCTGACTGGTCTATAATTCCCTGGGTCCAATTTGTTCCCCTTTTTACAGATAGGTACTATGTTTGCCCTTCTCCTGTCTTCTGGGACCTCACCTGTCCACCATGAGCTCTCAAAGATAATTGCTAACAGCTCCAAGATTGCTTCAGCTAGTTCCTTACAAACCCTAGGAAGAATTTCATCAGGCCCTGCCAACTTGAATATATCTAAATTATCTAAATACTCTTTAACCTGTTCTTTCCCTATTTTGACATGCGTTCCTTCCCCCCTTTTGTTAATATTAATTATATTAAATATCCGGTCACAATTTACCTTTCTAGTGACAATTGAAGCAAAGTAGACATTAAACACCCCAGCCTTCTTGATGTTCTCCATTATTAGCTCTCTTTCTCTAAGTAGTGGGCCTGCACTTCCCTTTGTCCTTCTCTTGCTTCTAATTTATTTATAGAACCTCTTCTTATTGCCTTTGATGTCCCTTGCTAGGTGTAACTCATTCTGAGCCTTAGCCTTTCTGATTTTGTCCCTACATGCTTGTGCCATTCTTTTGTACTCCTCAGAAATGGTATCCCTGTTTGACTTTTTGTAGGATTCCTTTTTGATTTTCAGCAGAGACATGACTAGTTTCTGCAGACAGTAAACACAGCACATGAAAAAAATATTGCTCGAGCATGCAGGAGTGTAATCAGGAAGGCCAAAGCACAATTAGAGTTGCAGCTAGCAAGGGATGTGAAGGGTAACAAGAAGGGTTTCTCCAGGTACGTTAGCAACAAGAAGATGAGGGAAAATGTGGAACCCTTACTGAATGAGAGAAGCAACCTATTGACAGATGATGTGGAAAAAGCTGACATACTCAATACTTTTTTTGCCTTGGTCTTCACAGACAAGGTCAGCTCCCAGACTGCTGCACTGGTCAGCACAGTATGGGGAGGAGGTGAGCAGCCCTCAGTGGTGAAAGAATAGGTTAAGGACTATTTTGAAAAGCTGGACACACAAAAGTCCATGGGGCCAGATGCAATGCATCTGAGGGTGCTGAGGGAGTTGGCTGATGTGATTGCAGAGCCATTGGTCATTGTCTTTGAAAACTCGTGGTGATTGGAATAGGTCCCAGATGTTTGGAAAAAGGCAAATATAGTGCCCATCTTTAAAAAAGGGAAGAAGGAGAATCCAGGGAACTACAGACCGGTCAGCCTCACCTCAGTCCCTGGAAAAATCATGGAGCAGGTCCCTAAGGAATCCATTTTGAAACACTTGAAGGAGAAGAAGGTGATCAGGAACAGTCAACATGGATTCACCAAGGGCAAGTCATGCCTGACCAACCTGATTGCATTTTATGATGAGATAACTGGTTCTGTGGATATGGGGAAAGCAGTGGATGTGATATATTTTGACTTTAGCAAAGCTTTTGATACAGTCTCCCACAGTATTCTTGGTAGCAAGTTGGTATGGATTGGATGACTGGTCTATAAGGTGGATAGAAAGCTGGATAGATCATCAGGCACAATGGGTAGTGATCAACGGCTCGATGTCTAGGTGGCAGCCAGTATCAAGCGGAGTGCCCCAGGTGTTGGTCCCGGGGTTGTTTTTTTCCCCACATCTTCGTTAATGATCTGGATGATGGGATGGATTGCACCCTCAGCAAGTTCACAGATGACACTAAGCTGGGGGAGAGGTAGATACGCTGGAGGGTAGGGATAGGGTCCAGAGAGACCTAGACAAATTGGAGGATTGGGCCAAAAGAAATCTGACGAGGTTCAACAAGGACAAGTGCAGAGTCCAGCACTTATGACAGAAGAATCCCATGCACCGCTACAGGCTGGGGACCGACTGGCCAAGCAGCAGTTCTGCAGAAAAGGACCTGGGGATTATAGTGGATGAGAAACTGGATATGAGTCAACAGTATGCCCTTGTTGCCAAGAAGGTTAGTGGCATATTGGGCTGCATTAGTAGAAGCGTTGCCAGCAGATCGAGGGAAGTGATTATTCCCCTCTATTTGGCACTGGTTAGGCCACATCTGGAGTACTGTGTCTACTTTTGGGCCCTCCACTACAGAAGGGATGTGGACAAATTGGAGAGGGTTCAGTGGAGGGCAACGGAAATGATTAGGGGGCTGGATCAGATGACTTATGAGGAGAGGCTGAGGGAACTGGCCTTATTTAATCTGCAGAAGAGAAGAGTGAGTGGGGATTTGATAGCAGCCTTCAGCTACCTAAAGGGGGATTCCAAAGATAATGGAGCTAGGCTGTTCTTAGTGGTGGCAGATGACAGAACAAGGAGCAATGGTCTCAAGTTGCAGTGGGGTACGTCTCGGTTGGATATTAGGAAACACTATTTCACTAGAAGGGTGGTGAAGCACTGGAATGGGTTACCTAGGGAGGTGGTGGAATCTCCATCCTTAGAGATTTTTAAGGCCTGGCTTGACAAAGCCCTGGCTGGGATGATTTAGTTGGGGTTGGTCCTGCTTTGAGCAGGGGATTGAATTAGATGACCTTCTGAGGTCTCTTCCAACTCTAATCTTCTATGATTCTATGATATACACACAATTACTGGTGAAAACTTCAGTGAAGAACAGGGCTCGTAACTGGAACATTCAGAATCATCCACATTAGCCACTAATGAAACAAGTTCCATTATCACCGTCAGAAACAACCATAACCCGCTCCAATGCTTAATTTGTAATGAAAGTGGTGCTCAAATAATTAGGTGCTGGGGACCAAACAATTCTTTTACTTTCATAACTGACGTGGCGAGCCCAGAGGTGTCGGGGCTATGAACTGCCAAGCCTAGAGGTGCAAGGGCTAAGCCCAGGCATAAATTAAGCATGGACCCTCTCCATAACAAGCTGGCCAGCAGGCCCATTTCAGATCAGTGTGTAGGAGAGGTAAGAGAACCACTTTCCTTACAAACATTAGGAGTTCTGAATATGATTCTCTGTGTACTGTGTTGAAGTCATAGCTCAAGGAGCTTAACCAATACTAGCCTGCAGATGATTGATCAATTTTGAGGGTAGTAGTCTTCATTTTAGGCTAACATGCTAATAAAGAAGAGATTTCTAGAGCTAATGGGTCTACACTACCTTTGCACATACACTGTTTATTGAATCATTCTGGGCACAGATCTACTTTACTCAATTGTTGGGTTTTTTTAGCTGCTTAGCAGTGGCGTAGGTAGGAGTGGAAATGTGGGTGGGCCCCAACTTTTGGGTGGACGGGTAATGACAGACTGTGCTATCCACTGGCCATGCCGGCTGGCTGTGCAGCCTGCCTGGGGTGGGGAGGGCTGATCTCCTCAGATGTGCCTTGACTCTGCAGTGGGGGAAGAGAGGGAGCCGTTGCCTTGTTGCAGGGTATGGGCTGCTGCCCTTCAGCTGGGGGCTCGCGTCTCCTACGGCCCCCGTGCGGGGTCGGCTCTGGCTGCACTGCGGGGGCATGAACAGGGGCTTGCCTGTGTGTGAAACTTGGCCTGGACTCTGTACTGAATTGCCCAGCAAAGTATATCCTCTCCAGGGAGTGCTGCAAAGAGACTGGCCTTGCCGCTGCCTTCGGCCGTGCAGGGGATGAGCTGTGTGGAGAGCACTGCTGGCCAATGGGCAGCCCCTGAGCACCTGCTAGCTCAGCTTCTCCCCTGACCCACACCCTCTTCCTAGCACTGGTGCACCCAAACGCAGGGCTTCACCCGCCGAGCTGGGCACGTGCATGTGGCGGCTCAGAAAATGGCAAGGCAGAGCTGCTGGAGTGTGGCTTTCTGAAGGGCGGATGCGTAGCTTCATCCTGGATTTCGGGTGCTGTAGTGGTGCTCTGGGTCACTGTGGCAGTTCTACACCTACTCAGATTTGGGTGGGCCTGGATGCCAAGTGGGTGGGCCGTGGCCCACCCATGGCTATGGCCCTACTGCTTAGAAATGGAAATGGCAACCACTCTGACAATGTGGCTTTCCAAGTGCCTCTGTGTACTCTGCTGAAAAGCTGTTTTAGACCATTTTACAGCAACACTCCTACAGTCAGTGAATCATAGCCATAACTAGGAATTCTTACAGTAACATAGATGTCTAAGAGGAGGCAAATTGGCTTCCATTTATGCTTTTTTTTGTGGGCTAATTTTATGTGGGATGGGCAGATTTTAAAGTCAGCTCAGAATTACTATCACTGTAGTCATTCTAATCACAATGATGTGACCTTTTTTTAAAAAAACAAACAAACGTACACACTTTTTACTTTTGTGCTCCATTCATTTCCAGTGAGTGTAAGCTGGCAGGGTGACTCAGCAGACATAAAGCAGCATAATGAGCAGGAGCCTATCTCTGTCAGTATAATCAAACTAAGTTACCTTAAGCAAACCAACATAAAAGATTCCCTAACTTTGGGCGTATCTGGGCTAGGAGCCCTATGTTCTCACAAGCATTCTCTTCCTTCTGTGTCTCCTTCAGCTGCCTGGGCGGAGGAGGGGGCACTTCAGCAAGGTGAAGGGCAAGTGGAGCTAGAGTTAACCCTTTGTATATTGAGAACCAAACCCGTTCACTGTCATAGGAAGCAACAATAATTTTTACACCATAATTATTTTGAACTTTATAGAGGTGTCTTAGGCACGGGTCCAATTACTAGCTATTCCTTTCCATCTCTAGATTTAGACCTTGAGCCTGCATTTGGATCCATATGGGCAGATGCATCTCCCCAGGCAAAGCCTCAGTGACCATACTCTCCAATGGGACTCTGTGCAGGCATAAAGGTCTGCCTGAGTGGCTCAGGTTACAGGACTGGCGTCTACAAGAAACAAACATCTCAGTTATTTAAAGTGTGTGTAATTGTTTTAAAAATTAAATATAAACGGAGAGATAAAATCAAAATGATATGCTTTAAGCTGTGGTAGATAACTCTAGTCACTCTGAGTTAATTTGGATTTGGATTTAAAAAAAAATAAAAACGCTAACTTGAGACCACTTATGCCAAGACTGGGTTAAGATCTTACAGATAAGCAGAAAAAGGCAATTGATAGTCTTTATGAGGGAGATAACATTTTGTTATTCCTCCCAAGGGAAAAGCAGCAGAGCTAGCAAATATTTAAAAAAGGATTTCCTGAGCATATCATGTGGCTGGAATATTTTGTTCCTGCCTGTGAAGCTAATAGTTACACAAACATAAAATGCTATGAAACGGGCAAAGATCCAGGAAGAAAGAGTATTGAGTGACTTTTGGTGAGGATGGAGACAGACTAAAATGTGAAGGAAAATATTGGTTAAGCTGCTTCTTTCAAAGGACAGATAAGGACTTTTTAAAAATGCTTTACCTCTGAAACGAACTTCTAGAAATAGTTATACCATGAGGGAAATATGTATTTAGGTCCTGATCAAGCAAAAACTTAGATACTGCATAATTTTATTAA